GATAGCCGTTCAAAACACTTTAACAGAATTTGGAGTGGGGATGAGAAGAAGGTTTCGATGTTATTAAAGTATAAAGAGCGCATTGATTTAGTGAGAGACTTCTTATAAAACTATTTGTACTACATGATTTAATATAAAAAAATTCGATAGTAAATTTTACTATAAGACTTGATATAGTTTTATTAAACTATGTTGACCGAACACCCCAATGTACCATGTGCACAGTCCCGAACATTTGTATTTATTTTTTGCATGTATTAATAAAAGTTTTTTCTTGGCATTTTTTCGGGACATAATGTCTCGAAAATTTCTTGGCAAAAGTGATCAGCGTGAATATTGTTCACGCGCACGCGTTTTTTTTATTTGGAGTGTTATCAAACATGTCATTCATGCTGACGGGCTGAATCATGAAGAATTCGGATTTTTTTTATTATAATTTTAAACGGAGATGCCCAAAAGTGCATTCCAAAATAGATCCTGCAAATTATATAAAAAGGTGATGTCCATTTAGTGAATCCTTTTATCCGCCTTGTGCAAGTAAACGAAAAAACTAAATGAAATAATCAAACTTACTATTATTTACATCATCAATATCTTTAATCAAACGAACTCGCAAAGTAATAACAAAGTATGTTGGCTTTATTGCTCGACTATCACGATGTTAATCAATTTTTCTGATTCTATAGATGTACAAAGTTAAAGCGGATATATTACCATTCTTGATCATTTTAACGTTCGCGTGATTGGGACGTTTCTCATCAGCGCAGTAAAATACACCTCAGAGAAAATAAACAAAAAGCAAAAATAAATAAATAAACCTTAAAAAATCACATGACTGTAATTTCAAAATCTTACTTGTATTGGATATGATTTATTTTAGTTGGAGTGATATAATTGCAAAATTTAGCGAAAAAAATTAGCATTAGGTGTAGGAGTAGCGGAAGAAACCCTCATTTTATGGGTTCCCTCTAGACTCGCTACTCATTTTATTTTATCATAAATCAATGAAAAAATAAATTAATAAGATTTTAGCTCAAATTGAGTTTTGGAATTTTTTTATTTTGATTGTAATCTAGTTTCATTTATTACATTTTTTCTTGCATAATCTTCTGATAGTTAAAGCTAAAAGTAATCTTATTTCCATTAATTAAAAATCTGACAAATCGATCTTAAGAACATATTGAGTCAAATTTTGCTTAATCCAAGATGTTGTATAATCCCATCCTACATATTCTATGTCTGTTGTTGTAACATACTTCTGTTCACAAAAATCATCAAACAGATCATTTATATCCGGGACAACAAAATATAGATTGATTGGTTGATAATCATTTATTTTACTTTTCAATTCGCTGAGACCTCTTACCTTGATACTATGTTTATCTGCAATTGTCATCTGATATAAATAATGAGTCCCATCACAATCAGGCGCAATAGAATCAATAGATTTAAAATTAGGACTATCGGGAATGTTATAACACTCCGAAGATATTTCATCAATTTTACGAAACTGTTTGTGCGTTAACCCTTTAAGTGTTAACTCTTCAACAGGCAGTTTTTCAGAGTCTTCATTGATATCCTTAGTTAAACGTCGCACCTTAAATTTTCCACCTTTTCGCAAGATATCATGAGCCAACAATTCAAAGAGTTTGCCAGCTAATGGACCACCAGCAGTCTTTGCAAAATTTTTGATTACGTTAATAATTATATTTTTTGTGTTCTTTGCATAGTGATCATACAAAGCCTTAAGTATTTCTTTTGAAGCGATAACATATTGTTTATCTTTAAAATCAGAACTGGGATAAATATGTATAGCTTTCCCGGAATAATTATCTTTTAAATCTCCTCCATCGTTTCTAAGGTACATATAAGCATCACACTGAGAAACTATATCGTAGATTTTTGGTTCATTATCATATTCATTAAAAATTCGTCGTGGTATACAACCCCATCGAATAATCAATTCTTCAACTCGCTCTTTAGGTATTTTATGCTTATAATCCCTCTTATCCCATTCCCAAACATCCAAAATCTCTCCATCTGTCCAAATCGGTGCATAATATTTCTGAACACGGTGTTTATCAAATTCATGCCAGCGATCATTTTTTGGTGTTGTGACTAGAAATGTGAATTTTGTTGTACATAAAGAAGGGATTACAGAATCGGCGATATAGAAACTATTTATTGGGAATTCGCCTCCTAAACCCCGAGGATATTCGATTACATCCATGTTTTTTTGACTGATATGAATAGTATGAGATTTGCCTTCATTTAACTGTTGATAGATAAAATCTGCCGGGAAATACCGACGAGTTATATAGAAAGCAAGATATAACGAAAAATGCGTTTTGCCAATGCCAGGTGATCCAATTATAATACATCCTTTTTTTCTATCATTTTTTTTTTCACTGATAGCACGATCATTTTCAATCTCTTCAATCATCTGCAAATATGAAGTTTTTATTAGTATATCCTGTGTTGATATATCATAGACTATTCCGTCTGGTGTGCTATGGAGACGAAGAAATTTCACCAGTGGTTTGGGCTTCCCAATTCCGTTATCTTTATTTTCTACAGAATCCATTGTGATATTGTCTGTCATGGGTTCATCATTATCAAGTATTAGCTCATTATTTTCTACAGAATTCATTGTGATATTGTCTGTCATGGGTTCATCATTATCAAGTATTAGCTCATTATTTTCTACAGAATTCATTGTGATATTGTCTGCCACGGGCTCACCATTATCAAGTATTAGCTCATTATGTGAATTTAACATTATATGTTCACCTAGAACAATTTCGTTCCCTTCAACTCTCATGTACTTGGAATATGGTTCTGATGAGTATATATCTGTGTTGATATGGTCTGGCGATTTAAGGACAATTTGTGCTTTATAAAGATCAATCCAAAAATTTTTGATCAGACGATCAACTGGTTCACGGTTAGAAGTTTGATATTCACCTGGTCGTCCTACTTTGATTTGGATACCGAGTTTAAAACAAAAAAGAAATCAGATATAAGTTAATAAAAGATCCGCGAATTTCTTGTTCAAGAGGTAAACCATTGGGAGACACTTACCAGTGGTGGCGGGCGGTTGTGGCCGGACGATTATTATGTGGATATGTTCATCGACTGGATCTTCAGGGAAGTAAAATTGAATTTCTTTCCTAGAGGACATAGCATTACCTCCAAGTTCTTCAATTTTAATATCAGAAGGAGGCTTGGTATTAAGAATTTTCATTCTTTCGACATCTTCGTCAGAAATACTGACTTGCCATAGGATTAAGTCTTTTGCGTCAATATTGGTGAAACTTATTGGATTTATTTTAGTGATTGATTCCCTGAGTTCCCCAACTTTCTTGTCAATAGGAAGTATAATCGGGAAAGCAGTTTCAGTGTTATCACCTAGAACGATACAAAATACCATGATTTCTCTGTATCGGAAACACGAAAATCGAGAGTTAAAACAAGGTTCCAAAAAGTAATTTATCAGTATAACACAAGTAAAGACTTTATGGATACACATCAGACCTAGCAGGTCGGGAATTTTCCTCGGTTTTAGTTTGTACCCGGAATGGCGAAGGTACTCGAAATAGCGAAGGATAGCTTGACATTTTGATTATGTGACATATATATATGAGTTTCCATAAATAGTTGTTGACTAATTACTACGAACTGTGAGCCAGCGAACTTAATAATGAATTAATAGTGAACTTAGTAATTCAAACCTGTTTGGAATTTTCGAGCGATGGGAAAAATTAATTTTACTTTATATGCCAAATATGATTTTTATGCTGAAATATGTTCAAATTTAGCATTAACTCAC